TACTAGTTCAATTGTTCGATACTTTTGAATTTTCAGTACATATATCTCTCTTCAATTCGCTATTCCAACCAACCATATATTTTTGTTTCTGATGCAAACAAAAACCTTTCTGATTTCGTGCTTCATGAATGAATGAAGGCGGGTCTACTCATCTCAAAGATAATCCATCATCTCTTTACAATTCGCATGCGAGCGATAATTCGGGAGCTCTGATTTTTGCATATTTGTTCATAGGATAACTATGGTCTCACGTTGTTCTCATGGCATTGACACTATGCCAAAAAAGAACTCAGGTAATACTTTTCAGTTAGCACTTTTCTATCCAAAAGACACGAAATCTTTAGATAACACTTCCAATGAAAAACACTTTTCGAATTTTAAACCACATAATATTTTAATGGCAATTGTTATCTGAAAAATAACAATGATCTTATGAATTACAACATATATAACTTCATCACAAGTGTTCTTTAAAAATATTTAGTAACACTAATATTCTGAGGTAAACTTTTTTCCTCAATTAATCTCGGCAGAAACCCAAAAAAAAAACTGACACCAATCTGGGCTCGACATTTTGTTCACACTAAAATATATGATCTTTTTGTTGGTGTATACTGAAAGCTCGGCTTCTTGTAAACACTATTCTTGTTTAAATGAGAAACATGTTTAATTAAACAGTTATATGTTCTGATGTTCTGCATTTAGATAATATGGTTCATCGCGGATGAACAAGATCATAAAATTGGTTACTTGTAAAACATAAATAATTTAGTTCACAACCTAGATGGAATTGAACAACCCATAAGACAATAAATGGACATTTTTATTCGGTTATTGTTTATTTAATTTATCAAGGTGAAACTTATTCTATTAGGTCGATAGCCTTAGTGTTTTGGTAAATAGTTTCAATTCCATGATGTGCCATTGAAGTTGTTTACGGTCACTGTGTCTCGGTCCGTTGGGTTGATGACGTCCCAAATGCAGTAGGCCAGCGGGCAACGACTCGACAACACCGGCGTGACCGGGGTGACTAGACATGGCCAAGGATAGAATCTTCCAGGTGAACCAGCCCGGATATAACGGTTTTTGAATTGGACCCTTAGCCTTTAAGAGCCGGTTCAGGGTCGATTTTTTTGCCTTTTTGACTCGTCGGGCTGGTTTTGGGCCCAGCATTTGAGGCACGCCGACTCGCGGGCCAGGTCGTGAACCAGGCCATTGAAAACGTCTAGGGGTGACGCTCGAAAATCGAAGGGAATCGGTCTAGTGACTCTAGCAAGGCACTGCACGACAGTTACGCGGTTAGAGGACGAGTCTCAAAATCGTTTCTCCTATCCTGTAGGTTATGTAATCTGTAGAGATTTGACTGAGCTTTTAAAAACGTAAGTCTTCAATCCGAAGTATAAATTCTGCTGCATTAGGATTTAATTCGACATTTGTGCACAATTTTTATTTCGAAACGATAGAGAATTTTATAAATAAATAAACACATAATTACAGCCTGAAAACAGTTATACAGCTGGAATCAGAGAGAGGCGTACACGTTAACATGACTGTAGCCTAGAAGTTACTACAATACACACACCCACAAAGCTAAAAGCTAGCAACCACTAGAATCCTAGCTCTCACAAGTGGAGAATAACTACACCCAACAAGGAAAAAAAGAAACCAACACGACAACGAAAAACAACCTACACACACAACCCAAAACAACCCACACCTAACAATAGACTAAACCCCTCCCCATCAGCCGGAAAAGACTCCGAGACTCCACCCATCAACCGAACACCCGAACGCGACTACACAAGTAGACACAAAGCCTGGACTAGATCTAGAAACTCCAGTATAGATACGACTTACCCACAAAGGATCAATCAATCCCCTTGTCATAACACCAACGCAACCGCGACCGGAGACCCACGCCAACCCCTCTCAACACGACGAATGGCGGCCCCGAAAGGCACGACCGAGGACAACCCCGACACTGCTGGACCCCCAGGTCCCCCCCAACACCAGAAAAGAGACCAAGAGTAGAAGGAGGGAAAGTCGTCGATCCCTACTCCACCCAGTCCCAGCAGGGGTTGAAGCCAATGCTGCCGCCTACCACCCGTCCGAAGTCTACTCCAAGAACCGCCATGGCCGCTCTGGAAGAGGAAAATACCTGGCCAGGAGGAATGGACCACTTCAGGGCTAGAGGTGCGTCGTTCGGCTAAGTGCAAATTGATATTATGTGCACAATTTGAATTAGATATTATATGAGCATACGTGAATTGATTAATTTGCATGTATGTTTGTGTATTTTAAGCCTCGGTCATGTCGGGAAATTTTGGACTGTCAATGATTGTAATAACCTTAAATGCACGGTGAAAAACTGTATAGTTTGTTGTTTTATTATATCATTCATGTACTGATCCTGCGTGGGTCATAGAATCAATTTATGTAATTTCTTGTACTATTTTTTTGACCAAACTGATAAACGAGGATGAGATCGGACGAACGAGCAAACGATTGGTGCAACCCCGACGAGACAAATCAACCGCGACCTGCGGTCACCGGCGCATGAAGGCGTCGTGCGCATGCGGCGCGCCTGCTGGCAGGTTGCTGCCAGTGGGGGGTGCTGCCGAGGCGTGCACGAAAATACCTTGTGCGGGTCAGATAAGCAGTCGGGCAACTGCGGTGTGACGAGGGGCGGCGACTGCGGCTCGAAGAGCGCGGGCGATGACTGGCGCATGAGTTTTTTTCGCAGGCCTATGCAGTCTCCACGCGCGGTGCCTGGCTGCAAACAGGCAACCCGGCGATGGTACAATGTTGGCATTAGCCGCGCGCGACAGTTAGGTTTCAACATGCGTGCCAGTGCGCGTGACAAAGTTGGACGACAGGGGATAGCTGTGCGTTCCCTGTGCATGCTGGTCGATGCCCCAGGCAACAATTTCGCGCGACGTATATGAAAATAATATCAAGACAACTTCCCTTATGATTCTCGAAGATCTTCTTCTTGTTTCCCTAATTTTAACTTAAGGATATATATGGGATTTCCAATTTAACTCCAAAAAGCATATTATTACAATCCGGATTTTAGGTTGTGGCTGCTTATACGGGGTATGAGATTTGGAAAGTTGGATATCGAGACAGTTTCCTTAACAGAAGCCGTGAGGAAATATCAATAAAGCAGCGCCCAGAAGTTCTCATCGCAAAGAGCTAAGAGCATCTAGTCTATAAGCTAAAGCGGTCCATTTGTGGACTGAAGTAATCTTCAAAATCTGGTACATTTGGTTGATCTGGTTTATGAATCAGTGACCAAATGAGCATTGTGTGTATAGTGACGAAAGCATGGTGGTATTTTTGTACCATACATAAACAACATTCTGCCTTGAAGAAATAGTGTAAAGGTACTTTCAGACATAAGGGTATGGTTTTGCAAGCAATTAGATATAAAGGACTTGGGAAAACTGGCACATATTCTTGAGATCGAGGATCAAAAGAAAGAATTGTTACGCTTATCTCAAGTTTCGTGTCTAGATATTGTCACAAGGTTCATTTTAGCATGCATAACTCAATAAAGTTTTTCAACCTTTTTTCGGCGTGGAGTTCCCCTTTCTAAAGAGATGGGGTATATAGAGGTAGATTCTTATGATTAGCAATAGAAAGCCTAATGTATGCAACGCCGTATGTGAGTCCGGATATCTACCTTGTTTCAGGCATGGTTAAAAGATATTAAAGTAATCCTGGACGGATGTATTGGTTTGTGGTAAAATATATTGTCAAGTATACAATGATTGGACCAGGGATAATATATTGGCTTGCCAAGAAAACTAAATGCAACCAATGGGTTACAATGATCTAATTTCCAATTAGATGTGAACAAGAATAAATCTACCTCGGGATTGTGTGTTTACTTGGGAGGGGGTGCTATAATATGAAAGAGTGTCAAGCGATAATGCCTAATGGACTTTTCCAAGAAAACTGAGTATATTGCAACCCATGGAGTAGAAAAATTAGATGTATGGCTCTGAGATCCTCAATTGGACTAAGATGTGAAATCTTGGTTTTCCTAAGTTGACCACAATGTGATTGTGTCGATAATTCGTGCAATATCAAACTTGAGAGAAATCACAAGTCCATAAGTCAAGTAAACACATAAAGAGCAACTACGACCCAGTGCGAAAGATCAAAAGAAGGGTCAAAGTATTTTGTCACCTAGATTGCATCAGGGGACGACCAGGTTGACTTTTACAAAGGGCTTTTCACATGAAAGCATTTGATAGCTATGCTAAGAGATTGGAAGTTAGATGTATGGCAGTAATAATAATATTTTGGTTAAGTATAAGTGGTAGTTGAAATAGGTATACTTGGAAAAGCGAAAGCTTTGAGTAGTATAAGTGGGATATTGTTGATTCGTATACTGAAATTTTTGCTTTAGTTTAAACCAATGCCCAATTTTGAATGAGAATCGAAATTAGTCAAACGCTTTTGTTATATTGTTTTATATTGAGATGGATATGGTTCATCACGGATGGACATAAGATAATACTATCGGTTCCTAGTAAAACATAAAGTATGGTTCACAACCTAGACAGAGTTGAATTAACTGTCGCGAACGATTGTCGTATAGTTTAGAATCGGTTTATCTTGACTGGTGAATTACACTAGTACATTTAAAATTTATTGAACGGATCTGGGGAGGATAAGTTTATTTTATATTGACCAAGTAAATAAACTAGACCTTGGTTATTATTATGTACTTAATCTGTAAAATAATGACAGGTACGTGCACTCAGTAGATATTTTTTTGCTTAACGAAAAATTATG